GTTTCGTTTTTATGTTTGTTACCTCAGAACTTTGTCATTGTTTTTATGTTAGAGGGGACAGACGAGCAGACGGGTCACCTGATGGAAAGTGACCATCGCCGCCCATGAACGTCTGCAACTCAAGAGTCACGAACGCGTTGCCGGCTTTTTAGGAAGGAGTACGCTCTTTTCTTGAAGGTTTGAATTTCGTATCGGTCCGGAAATACCGCAGACGATAACCCGTTCCACAGATTGGTTTTGCTGGGCAAAAAGTGTCTCGAAAAGCGCACAGTAGTGGAGCGCCAACTACCCAAGTTATGAGGATGAAAATTTTGCCGTATGGAACGATGGCAGAAAGTTGCGGCTGGTATTAGTCCGAACAATTCCTCGGAGCACTCTCCATGAAATATGCGATAGAGAATGCAAAGTGAAGCCACATCTCTACGCAACGCCAAGGGATCGAGCCGAACGAAGATGTTTGGGCTATCGAAATAAATTAAATTCTGTTTTTATTAAAAGTATGTTAATCCTTAAATTTTCAACTACATACATTTCTTGTCATTGTTACTTTAAAAAAATATTTCTACTATCATACATACATATGATACATTTATTTTTAAGCCTAAGTTAAAAACTAAAAAAGAAATATTTTGACAAATTAATAATGATACTCAAGGAAACTAACCGGTTCTTTATGGACCCTATAAGAATTATGTAAATAATTGTCTTATATTATAAACTAGCTGAGACCCGAGGTGTTACCCGCGTTTGTTGTTATAACCGCGGGCAACGCCGCGGGGCGAAGCTAGTATTTTAAATAAGTCTGATTAATGTCATTGGTTAATCCATAATTTGAATATTATATTCAAGGCCTATTTTTTTTGTGTATGGAATCAGTGAATACAATGTGAAAATTCATTATTTTGATAAAAGGGGGTGTTGGGGGGTGTTATAAAAGTTATCAAAATACCATAAACTGTATGTAACGACATCTATGGTGTTAGATCTATGTTGAGTAATGCAATTGTCTATGTGTGATTGTCGCTGCTCTGCTCGATAGACAGAATAAATTTCATTCTATTTAAAAACCGCCAACCACCGTATTTCATTAGATAGTAGCAGCCTTTTAATTATATTCTTATTTCTTTTAACTATATTCTTCACTGATAACACTCATATCCGCGTATTCGTAGTCGCAGTGTATTTGTCTGAGAGTCTTCAATAATTAATAAGAAAGAAGGTAACGAATTGCTCGGCTAGACTCTTTACTTAAAGACTCCACATTAAATAAGTCCTGAACATGGCTGTTAATTAAAAACCTAGGATTATTATACCTTTCGAGTAGTAGGTTCCATGCTGTTAAATAATTTTCATTAGAAAAGTCAATATTTCTTATTATGCTCGTGTTTGCAGCAGTTCCCTGTAATGATGCACGTAGGTAGTGAAACTTACTTATATTATATATTCTATCATTGTTGTGGATCATTGATAAAAAGGTATCACGAAACTCGAGCCAGTGCATATAGCTACCATTAAATGTAGGTATGTTAATTTTGGGCAAGTTAAACTGGTTGTTAACGAATTGATCAAATGTACCTGACCTGTTTCCGGAGCCTGCTACAGAGTCTTCTTTCTGATTTTTGTCATTATGGTTAGCCAGAGTACGGCGAGCTTGAGACACCAACTGGTAATACTGCCTTTCAAATAACTCGCGATCAGCGTATTGCTCGTCCGGTGGGTCGCACAACTCCTCGAGCTCCCTCTGTAATGCGTCGAATTCAGAATATAAACATTATATCTTTGACAAGCGACATTCCATTTCGGTGATATGCACATCACTAATTTTTTCATAAGTGGAAGCTAGCTTTAAAAAACTTTCAAAATGTGTTAGTTTTGTTTTCATAGTACTTCTAGATTTTTTAAGTTTTCTCACTTTATCATCATCAAAGTCTTTGGGCATTATGATATTTTTATTTATGTAGGAAGCCACACACAAGTACCACGAAATCAAAAGGTAAATGAAGGAAGTACGGTTGTTACTTCTTAAAAAAACCTCGAGCGAAATGTCAAAGCGGAATGCGGATGCTTCCCCCAAGTTTCACTATTTGAAAAATATTATTAAAGCATATGCAATGTTATAGGCAAAGGCAAAGGCATAACATCCGAAAAAACGTCGTACTTAGACTCACTCAGCGAGAACGGGTTAACATGTGGAGTAACAGATTTCACAAGAATCGAACAAAGATTAAATATTACATCTAGAACTTGTATTGATCACATTTTTGCACGCTTCCCCACTTGTTATCCGTTCTCGGCAGTGTTAGATGTCGTACTGGCCGACCACAGAGCTCTGATATTTGCCTGCATTCACGATACACCTCCAGTGCATATACAGAGTGTATCAAAAACTATTATTGATAATGAGTTACTTCGGACCGAGTTAAAGAACGTCGAATGGTCGCGTACAAGAGAAATGCGATGTCCGAATGAGATTTATCAATTTATATATAACTCCTTTAAAGATGCGAATAAGATTGCTACATGTAAAAAAATATTCCATATAGATTCTAGTAAAAAAAGAGCCATAATGCCGTGGATCGACGATCACGTCACTCGACTATGTTATACTTTTTAGACAGTGGAAAAAGAACACAAATAATCTCGAAATACGATTACAATACAACAAGACACGGAATAAAATACACAAAATCATAGAATTTAAACGGAATAAGTACTATACAAAAATTATCAACAATAACTTCAGGAATACAAAAAAAATATATGAAATAATTAACCAAATGCTAGGGCGAGTGACGCTGTCGATCGACTCGCTGATACTAAAGGCATTCAACACGCAGCAGTTATCAACCAAAACTGTTACAAACAACTTTGCTACAAGTTTCCGTGATTCTGTTAAAAACTTAATTCCAAATTGTAGCATAAAATGCCTAGACCCAAATGCTTACAGCGCGGAAGCCAATGCAAGTATTTTTTATCAAAAAGTTTCTAGTGAACAAGTACTTAAAGTCATTAATAATTTAAAACCCAACAAGTCGCCAGGACTCGACAATATTAAAATATCTCATATTAAACAAATAGCTGAAAACATCTCGGGTGCTATTGCTGACCTGATAAACTGTAGCGTGAGTACTGGTTTATACCCCGATCAACTGAAGGTAGGCTGTGTAAGACCGGTTCACAAGAAGGGTTCAAAAGTAAATTACCTCAACTATCGGCCGATAACTTTATTATCTTCTATAGATAAAATAGTGGAGAAGTCTGTGTGTCTACAGGTACGGCGATTCTATGAAAAACATGACATCCTATACCATAAACAGTTCGGATTTCAAACTGGTAAAGGAACAAACGAACTGCTATCGAAGTTTACAGATGAAGTAAACATGTTCCTAAATAACAGAATGCATGTCCTAGTTATTTTTATAGACTTTTCCCGCGCTTTTGACACACTAGACCACAAACTATTAATCAGTAAATTAGACAAATGTGGGATCCGCGACCATATTACAGTTACAGAAGGCACGGCGCAAGGATCTGTATTGGGGCCTCTTCACTTTTTGACATACGTAAACGACCTAGCCAAGTGTGTGAAATGGAGTTCTTGTTATCAATTTGCCGATGATACCTGTCTCGTTGCAGCACACCAGAATGCGCAAAAGGCCGCAGAACTCTTACAGTCCGACTTCGATACAGTTCTAAAGTGGTGCCATGATGCCGGTCTGGTGTTGAATGCTGATAAAACCAAACTACTGCATATTAAATCTCCATACCTGGATAAATCTCAATTCAAAGACATACGTGCACACAACCACAACTGCTTACACACGTCATTCAACGATCCATGTAACTGCACCACCATACAAACCGTAACGACACATACTTATGTGGGGTTAGTTATTGACAGCAAGCTAAATTGGAGTAACCATATAGAACACGTATGTGATAAACTCAGACTGTTCCTTGCAAACATCACGCTGCTCAAAGACCGAATACCCTTTAAAGTCAAAAGAATGTTATACAACTCAATGGCTGAATCCTATATCCAGTATGGATTGAGTAGTTATGGTCGTACCTTTAACACATATTTAAAAAAAATATATAACTTACAACGAAAAATTTTGCGAACTATCGTTCCAGCAAAAATTAAAAAGCAATTTTATAACGATGACAGTGGGCTTTTTAAACACTGTCAAATCCTCCCGATCCAAACACAATTTAAATATAATTTACTAAAAGAAAACTTTTTCACCAATACATTTAACAAACAAAAAACACACGATGTATATACAAGGGCTGCTGCTCGGAATCTTGTGTGCGAAATCAGTCGAGCGACAACAAATAATATATACGGTGAAAGAACAACCGAATACTTAGTTCCCAGATTTATTAACAAACTACCCTCCGAATTGAGAGATATTCTGACGCCGGTGAACTTTAAATCTAAAGTACGGCCATTACTTTTTAATCAAAATTAATCATATATATTTTATTTCTTGTTTTATCTGTTCGCTTTTTATTTATGAAATATTGTTTTATACTGTATTCAGAACTTTCTTATTATTATTCTTTTGTTATTATTATTTTTTTTTTGAATTTTTTTGTAACGATCGAGACTAACCCTTAGCATTCGTTATAAACCTTCGTGGCTTAGGAAATGCTATGTTTGTTAAAATTTTCTCATTAATATGTTTACACTTTGAAAGAATAAAAACAAAAAAAAAATATGTAAACTTCGCAAACAAAGAACGTGCTCAAATTGAATTGCAATATGTATAATACGCAGTACAGCGTTGTAACAAAATGGCCGGCCGGGCGGACTTTGACCTTGAGCGACGCCGACGCCGCGGATGCAAAATACTATAATAGTTGTAGCAAATATGTGTGAAAAAGCGTGCACTGGTAAACGGAAAACCAAGAAATGGGTGTAAAGGAATTAGAATGTCATGCTCACTCAAATTTAGGATAGAACTTTTTTTTTTTATTGAAAAATTGAGTAAATAGGTTTAGGTAGGTAAGGAATGACTTGGAGCGAACTCACAGCGTGCCGTCCGTAGCTCAGGAATGCTGATGCTCTCGCCGCTGCCTTGGTTGAAGTCGTTGCAGACGGGTGACGCCACGCCCTGGTCGTAGGTATTTGAATCGCCGATCAAACGACGCAATGGAATTCTTCGGACTTCGCAAAATCTTCGACTTGCTTAATGAATGCCGTGGCTCTTCTTGACCAACTGTCTGAGAGTCTTCAATAATAAGTGGACTGTATTTTATAAGTAATTTATTCGGTTCTAAACTCTGATAACATGGCCGCTCGGTCCGGCGATCCAAAAAAGCAAGTGTCATGAATTTGTCTAACAAAACGTTCGTCGCGTCGACTCGGCGCGGGAGGCGGCTCGCCTCCCCGCACCCCGCAGCGCGAGGTCCCGTGCGTTCAGATCCACGCGCAAACAGTATTTTTAAAGGTTTAAAACTGGGTAATTGTTATCATTTTGACTACACTAAACTGTATAAGTATATATATATATATAAAGCTAGGGTAGAAACACATTACAGAGGGCAAAAAGTGAATATTATATAAAATGTTTTGAAGAACGTATGACAAAGCCTCGTAAAGTGTCATTGATACTAACATTGTCACAGATGAACTTGAAATCAGCGAACAACTCAATACCTACTTTTCAACGATTGGCTCAGCTTAAGGGGTTAGGGGTACTCAGAGGCCTGAAAAAATGATGATTTTCAATAAAAAATTTTTTTGTAGTTAATTACTTTATTTGACAAAAATAAAAACATATCTTTATTAGAACACGTTTCGATTTGACTTCACGAAAATTTCAAAAAAAATAATTAATAATTCAAAAAGTTATCGCTGTTTTTGTAGAGCCCGTTCCTCCCGAAGTCCTTTGCGGTGATCATCATAAGTCCTTGGAGATTCATCTAAAATCAATCGGACAAGAAAAAATAGTTTTATTAATAGATAATCTTGTGCCTGATCGAAGCTTTTTTTTTTTTTTCGAAATTAACAAAATGGCGGCCTCAGGAATTTTTTTTCAAATTTTCGAGAAAAGAACCGACAGTTTATTGTTAAAAAAAATCGAAATTTTTGAAAAAAAAAGAAATCCTTCGATCAGGCACGAGTTTTTAATGTATTTCAAAAGTACAAGAAATTTTATTGAAATCTACCGAGCAGTTTTTAAGTTACAGTGATCACCAGTTCAGAAAACATAGTTTTGAGAAAAACGCATTTAAAGTTTTGCTATGGATTTATGTCGAATTATAAGAATTATTTAATAACTTACACTGAGTCATCTATTCCTGGACCATATAATAGCTCTTCAGCCGTCATAGCAGCTTCCAAAATATCGATTTGCTGGTGCCTACGTTGCAATCGACCTTCTCGGGTGTTATCGTCGGTTGCTTGCAGCTGTTTCTAGCTACCTGCTCTCGAATGCCACGTAGCACCCGAGCGTCCTTTGGTCATTGTTAAATAACTCGAAAAGAATTTGTCGGATTCACTTCAAATTTTCACACAATATTTTTAAAATATTATACTTTAAGAAAATGCAAAAAAAAAATATCGATTTTTTGAAAATTCTGACTACCCCTAACCCCAGCAAACCAAATTAAGAATAAATACAAAATTAATAAATACGACACAAAAACCATTGCTGTAATTAGTGATGCAACTGAACTAAACCATTTAAAACCGACAACTACTGATGAAATAATAAAAATAATAGACAAATTGGATCCCAATACTGGCTCTGGTATCGATGGTATAAGCACTAAAGCGATTAAATGTATCAAAAACTTAATATTAGAAGAACTAACGTTGTGCATCAATGAAAGTTTTAAAATAAGTACTTTCCCTAGAAGCCTATAGATAGCTAAAGTTATTCCTATCTATAAATCTGGCAACAGGTTTGACCCTTGTAATTACTTACTAGTAAGAATTGCGGTCTTCTTACGTTCATAAGTTTCACCATGTTCTAAAATAAATGAGTGAACCACCAACTCTTTATTTTCTTAGTCTTAGTTAGTTTTTTTTTATTTGATTTCACCAGCTCCTCGTCTATTGAAAATTTCGATTAGTATTAGTGTATTTTGAAATTTCAACAGAAATCCATTCGTCATATGTTCTAAACAAATATTGAATTTTTTGTCTTTTTTGGGTAAATTGATATGCCAGTACTCTTTTGTTGATTGTAGTCGGTACTTCTTTTTCCGTTATTATAATAAAATTATCTACTAATGTTTATCTCTCAGTATTTTCTGATTTTATACAACTCTTTAAGTTTTTCTGCAGCTTTTATCACATATTATTGCCACTATATAGTGATTTTTCTGTTTTATAATAAGTTTTTTTATTGCCAGTTTTTTAATGTTATATTTTTTCATTTTTCATTGACAGGACAATATTTCTCTACCTAAGATATCCGTCATTCCACTAAGAAAAGTACAAGTCAGGTTTATCTGATCACACAGAATACACGTTTTTTTTTAGCAACGGTTTATTAAAAATGAGTTGGCATCCTGAGGGCATGCAAACTGTACTGACACCCTGTTACGACCTACTTTTTTGACGCTATCTCTAACCTCATTATTAATTTTATTTTTGAAAAGGAAAACACCAAAGGGACAGGATGGAGAGTTGTGCCAGAACCTAATTGGGTCTCCACGCGGGAAACATGCACAATGTAGCCTATATTATGTAGGGACCAGTATCATTTGTCGTGTACTTGTCACGACCAAGCGGGCTTCTTATTTGATTAGGGCTACGTTTAAGAGGGTGGGTACTTACCTCATCGTTCACATGTCGTTTACCTGAGTTTGTAGCGGGAGGGCAATTATCTTGGACCGCTGCATTGCAGATCACATTGGCAAACTGTTCTAAAGGGTTGGAAGGGGTTGAGGGTTGGTCGGGTAGGGAAGGAGTGGGGGTGAAAGGAGGGGTTACTGGATATGGAATATCGGGAGGGTCGGCATTGAAGAAACACATAGCAGCTACTTATTAGTTAATACATTATTATTGTACTAAAATATTATTATTATAACTAATAAGGATAAAAACAATTCTATATGCACATAATATTCGTGTGTGTGCGTATGTGTGCATGCAGGGTATGTGCATGTATGTTTATGTGTTTGTGCATGTATGTATGTGTATATGCACGTCTATGCACATGTGTATATGTGTGTGTATGTTTTTATATTTACAAATATACATTTTAAGAAATAAATAAAATAAAAACTTGAGAGGTGTCAAGGGACACCCGGATGGAACGAAGTTCCTTTCGATTAATTAGTGAAGGAATTGTAATATATATTTTTTTTTAAGTTATAATTTTTTTTTTTATTATTAACAAATATAATGTTATATAAACTTAATCAGTAGGCTCAATTTTCGTAATAATTGGCTTGTGGTAACTGAAGTAGGAAACATATGTTTGGGATTCTATTTTATTTAAATGTCTTGAAAAAACTGCATCAATGGTAGTATTATATTTTGTTGTTGATTCTGCTGGATTATTGTTAATTCTTAAATCAAATTCTTCCTCTAGAAACTGTAGCAATGGTTTTGATTTTTCATTACTGAAGTTGATGTTAAAATCACCGGCTAAAATGAGTGGAACTTTATCTAAATTTTTGTTGTATCTGCTAAGCGTTCGAGATACATCTTTAGAATACTCTAGCAGTGCTCGATGAATGAACTCCTGAATATCTATTAATTTGTTATTTGGTGAGACATATATGACTGCCATGATTAAGGTAACACCGTTTTCCATTACACACTCTGCTGCACATAAATCTGCAACACTTGTACGTCTTACGTGCAAGTCCCGAATATTGTTCATTATGACCGACATATTTGGTGTTACAAGATTGGTCGTATCATTTATGTTGTGATATATCGCAACTCCAACTGAACGAACAAAATCACGTTTAAAGTGGGTTATACAATTAAAATTCGGTATATCACATTCTTCTCGATTGTCCAACCATGTCTCTGATAATAACAAAATGTTCGTTTTTTCTGTAACAGAGTCTATTAAATCAACTGAATGTTTACGAAGGCTTTGGACGTTGAACGTACACAATGAAATGCCTTTATCTGTAGTAATGAAATCAATGACAGATTTTGCCTTCGTTTCAAGCTTATTTAATGACAATCTCTGAAACTCTTGTACTAGAGATATTGTTGATGAAGCTTGTACTCGATTATGATGAAATCGAAATTTAGTTTCATCATCATCAAATGTAACGATAAATAAACCTTCGATGCTTGTTACACGAGAGAGAGCATCATAAACAAGTTGTTGTGGATGTATTTTGTCATACTCGTAAACAATTTGATCAAATGTTCCACCTTGTGACTTATGTATAGTCATAGCACAAGCAGAAATTATGGGAAAGTGTTTACGTTTAACAGTAACTGCTTTATTCCTTGTCATGGTTATGTTGGATGTTCGCCATTCAATAGGTACAGCAGCATTATTAACTTTGCTTTGGACAGCTAGTAAAGCAGCTTTTTTTCTTGCTTTTTGTCCAACCTTTGCTGATCCACAGAATTCGAGCCAAACTCTGCAAACTACGTTGTCCTCATTGAAGTCTAGGAGAATTAATTTACCAACGGTACCATTAACTGATCCATCACTTACATCAATATTTGTTGTGATAAGATAATACTTTCCTTTTACAAAAGTGATTTGGTAAGGTAATCCCCCAGTATCGATGACAGATTTTTTGTGTAGTTGTAATCTAAAAGAAGCTTCTTGTTCTTGATTTTTAGTTCCAGTTATTATATCCAAAATAGAATTGTTGTAACTGTCTACAGCGACATTAGTATAAAATAAACGAACACCATGAGGACTTAATTGTCGAGTTTCTTCTTTTTTGAAAAATCTTGATTCGATAATTTCTAATTGAAACTGTTCCAAAACTTCACCATTGCCAATCTTTGTAAGTATAAATGAAAATGCAGCATTAGCCTGTCTCATGACTTGCTAGTTCAAAAAATTTAAGACCTCGCCATAAATGTGGACCAACCATTCTCGTTTTAATAGGTTTATATATCAATGTTGCCCTTACTGGTGGAGCCTGGCGTAAATCACCAATTAAAATGACGTCAATGCCGCCAAAATCAACATTATGATTTGCAGTAATTTGTTTTAATCGCAAATCAAGAACTTCGTTCCAAAAACTGTCAGCATCACCTTGATTTTGGAGCGACTTTGCCGCGGTTTTTTTGGTTTCGGCTCGTTTTCGAGACGCCATTCTGAAGACTGTTGGCTTGTTTGCATGTCGTACTCATAAACCCATGTCTCGTCGCCAGTTATTATACGTTTCATAAAGGTCGGATCCGTAGAAGCTCGGGAAACCATGTCTTCAGCGACATGCTTTCGCTGCGCTTTTTGAACAAAATAAAGCTCTTTTGGAACTAGTCGAGCGGCGACGCGTTTCATGCCTAAATTGTCAATGAGAATGTTGTGGACGGACTTAAAAGATATGTTCACCTCACTAGCCAACTCTCTCAGACTCATACGTCGATTTTCGAGCACTAGCTTCTTGATTCTGTCGATGTTTTCTTTGGTCGTAGCGGTTGAAGGTCTACCAGAACGAGGCAAGTTTACTACTACTTCTCGGCCTTCTTTAAAAGCCTTATACCATTCATAAGCCCTTGTTTTCGATATACACGATTCGCCGTAGGTATTTCGCAACATTTTTAGTGATTCACCACAAGAAATATCATTCGAAACACAAAATTTAAGGCACACTCTTTGTTCAACAATATTTTCCATTGTAAAAATCGCCGAGGACTCAAAACTATCACCAAAAAAAAGTGTAGTTTAAAACAAATTAAATGACAGATCCCGCTCAAACTTGCGCGCTTAATCAGTACAGTGCTACCAACATGCAGTAAAAAAATTAGAACGACCTCTTTTACGCGGGTCTTTTTATTGACATATTCCCGATACTTTTTACACAGAGTTGTATATATTTATATTTTAAAGCCTTTCTAATGGTACCAATTTCAATTTGCTACATGGGTGGGTACGCTTTTTTCCATGTTCTTTCATACCAACTTCAAATGGCGTTTTCACAGGTTTGCAGTCTGACATTCTGAACCGTACCAAAATTTATTTTATGTACTTTTCTTGATCTATCATTACCTTTTCTTTGTCTCCGGTAATATGTAGACCCACACATTGACTCGCTGGGCCAATATCTTTCATTTCAAAATGTTGTTTTAATTTTTCCTTCAATAACATTTTAGTTTACTCTTGAGCAGTAAATAGTATTAAGTCGTCAACCCAGACAGCTATAAATGTATTTTTCTCAGCATTATGGTAGACACAAGGATCTGTTTTTGATTGTTGCATTCCTAACTCATGCAAGGCATTTTTCAGTTTAGTGTTCCACAATCTGCTGGCCTGCTTGAGGCCATATATGGATTTATGTAGCTTGCATACCTGAGATTCTTGTTTATATTGTTCTGGCTGCTGCATATAAATCTGTTTATCATTTTCTCCTTGGAGCAAGGCTGACACTGCATCGTTTTTGTTCTATTTGTAGCTCATATTTGGCTGCTAGGGCAAATAAATAACGGATAGTAGTATACCTGAGAACTGGAGAGTATGTTTCTTCATAGTCAGTGCCTCTTTTCTGAGCATAGCCTTTTATTACAAGTATATAAGTATGTATATAAGTTCATATTATCACTCTGTACTTCTATATTTCTCCAAAACAGGTAGCTTTTGAATCGGATCTTGATTCTCCAAGTTGTCCATGTTAAGATCTTCAAAAGAGGAGCTATAATCAACTAATTTTTTGACAAAAGTTGAAGATTGCGGATAAGATTCAACGATTTCGACGTAATTTGCATGATTTGGGGATACATCATCATCGTGAATTAAAATTGATGGTGATAAATTCCTGTCCTCTTTCTCACGATTTCAAAATTTTCATCCGAATGATTGTCGCATCTTGGGTACATAACAGGACTGCCGGGAATAGAATCTCTTGAAGGTGATGAATTAGAAACTGAATCAGGCATTCTTGAGGAACTTGCCATCTTAGGATCGGGCATTAGTGTAAGTACTGAAGGTGCATACGCTTCTTCAGGAATTGCACTGGGATCGTACGGGAAGAGGCCGGTAGCTCGAAACCCACTGATTATATTGTCCTTGGTCATGCACTTAGACCAAAATTTTGTAAAAAATTTACGTTCTGGATGCTGATATGCATACCACAAAACCTCCTCATCCCAAAAATGTTCGAACGACTTATTAACCGATTTGTCAGCGGTTGAAGCTCATGAGTCGTATTTGAAGGCAAGCAATAGAGTAGAATATCATGGGCATCAGCTGCGTCAACGATTCTTGCGTCTAAATGTGAGGAGGCCCCATCGAAAATTAGTAGGCATTTTCCTGGAGATTTATTCTGCCCTAAGTGGTGTATGAAATCAACAAAAAGTTCGGTCGTCATACTGCCCTTTGGAGCCATTTTGACTAAACTACCAGGTGGTAAATTGTCACAAAATTCTGGTCTCAACCTTTTGCCCTTAAATAGAATCATAGGTGGCACAGTGTTGCCCGTTGCACTTACACACATAGCGACTGTGACATTTTCTGCATGTTCTTGACTGACAAAGTGCAGAGTGCACTTTGTCAGTCAAGATTGGTTCCTTTTGCTTCCTTTTGGTTGTTGTTGTTCGACGTTGTTCCTGTTGGTTCCTTTTGCTGCAAAAACCTTCTGTTGGTGGTGTAGTGTTAGACGACATCCCTTTCGTCCATGTTATAAAGGCGTTCCGGGTGGGTGGAAATATTTAACTCATCGTAAATGTCTTTTAGGGCTTCAAAATGTTTTAAAACTATTGGCTTGTTGAGTTTTTGTGCTCTGGCGGGATTTAACAATTGAGCCCTTCGTAGCGATATTTCTGGATTGCGTTTCACAAAATTTGTGAGCCATTTTTTTCCAACAATATTCTTTTTATCACTAAAAAGATTCGGTACATTATTCGCTTTACAAAATTCGTAAGCCTGCTTCCGAACAATTTTGGGAGTTAATGGCATTCCTATCTGAGACAGTCTAATTATCCTTTTGCATAAATCCTTTTCTTGTGATTTATTAAGAATAGGGACACGACCAGTTATCTTCTCCATGGAACCAGATTCTATGTGGTTTCTTAATGTTCCCCTCGGTATGCCATATGTTTCAGCAGCTTCTCGCTGTGACATTTGGCAGCTTTTTACTGCTTGAAGGGCGGATTTCAACTGTGTTTCTGTCCATTCCCCGCGCCGTTTTTTAGTAGAAGGCTCCATTTTAATCTGCGATAAAAAAAAGAATAAAACAAACAAAAACTTAGTACCTTAAAAAGTAATTTAAAAAAAAAATTGCTGACTTCAAATTTAATACATGCTTATTCAATCTCAACAACCACTAAACCGATTTTGTTAAAACTTACACTATTTTTAAGTTGGACTATAGGTACCTAATTCAAGATTTATTACAATCCAACATAGTTTCCTAAACATGCGCAGACAAACTTAAAAAAAACAAACATACAAACACAAAAATATACTAACACTACATTTCAATAATCCTAGAAAGGCCCGGGCTATGTTTGGGAATTATATTATGGGCCATGATAGGAAATTACACCCGGGTTGAGTATAATCTCGTAAAAATACAAAAAAGGAAATGAAATAATAACACTCACTTGTAATTCGCTGATAAATAGATTAAATATGAATTTTCACAGTTTAGAGCAAAGATATTTGTTTTAAATCTGTTAATTTTCAAAAGGATTTAGATAATGGAGGTTATAAAACGTGTATCGTCTTGACATAACCAAGCAAACTGTCATTTGTCTTCAAAATGGCGACTCGCCGGTAATGAAACACACTTGCACTATTGTCTATGGTACTAGTAGCATAAACCCGCGAAATTTCAAATGTTTCGAATAATCATAACTGTATTTTTTTTAAAGTTGGCTATCCTAGGAGCTGGGCGATCATCGGCGACACTACCTTATTATGTTTTGTTTTTGTTTATTTAAAAATGGCGATAAATATTAAACAGCCTAAAGTATATCTGGAGGGTATTATAGGTCCTGTAGCTTTACTACGCAGTTTTTAGATTCCATTGTACAGCTATTGCCTTTAAATAGGCATTATATTAGAATATTTTTAATATTTAGGCTGTATATCAGCTGTATTTCAAAACATAAATTGTACAGCTCATTAGGGATACGTATTCAAAATGAAAAACCATGTATAATATATCGCTAGCAATTTTTAGATTTCGCCGTTTACATCGCTCGCGGCTTACACACGTATAAGTCAAAATGTTTGCATAGCGATTGACAAAAACATCATTAATCCATTTTATGTGTGATTTCAGGCACTTAATCAACCAGAGAAGTCATTAACTTCATCTACAGCTACATCATCCACACCGGTTCTTCCAACAACTGCAGCTGAATACGTTATTCAATATATAAATGACTCTGATGTGGCAACACAAAATATTAATTTCGAAACATAAATTCCAACACAAATACAGCAAAACACTGATGTGAATCAGATTGAAAATTACCTAAAATTGATTTTAGACAATCTAATAAATATGACACAAACAATAAATATTCTAATGGACAACCAGAAAAAAATGTTACACAAATTGGCAAGTCTATCAGTGCAAATAGATTACGAATTTTCCAAGTGTGACCATACTAAAAATACAGACGTGGTTACACTGGGCAAATCCAACGAGATTGAAAATGATACTTTTGTCATAAAACCTATTGATTCAGTTAAAGAGCTAGAAGAATTGGAATCACTTTAAACTGACAAGCAGCAAAAAAATAAACTGCTGAAGCAATACTCTTTCGTATGTTCACAATCGGATGGAAGAGGGGGAACCCCTGCATACAAAATATTAGATATGTTTTTTACTCGTGATTTCTTATGCAATTGTTTCTGGACGTACGTACGTGGACGTGGTAGTACAGGTACTAGTGATAACGTAAAAAATCCTCTCAAGGCTTATAAAAACGTCCTTAAGTTTTACTACGAACTGATACATATCTGGGACCAAACTTATACCATTGAAAATAATGAAAACTGTTCTTAAAAATTCTGTAAAGAGAAAACTCAGCAAGAATGAAAGAGCATCAACAAAACGTAGGAGAACACAAAAAGATACACTTAAAAATTCCAATCAAACAAACCAAACCACCAACCAAGTTGAAAGCGTCATGATTGTTGCAGACGACGACGCTACAAATGAAACAAAAAATACCACTGAAGATGAACGAGAGGAAAGAGAAGAAGACGAGGAGAAGGAAGAGTCCCTTTGTTAGATCACCCATCAGAAAAAAATCTGTATCTTAATAACTACATTTTCATTTATCTTATCGGGCAATGTTATCGTTAATAATTTTATTTTATTAACTTAACCCAATCTAAGTTTATCATAAAAACTTTTGGTTACCTAGCTTTCTAAGAGTGCTTACGTTTACAAACTACATTTAAATCTTACTTGGCTAACGACAGGTGTTGATTGCAGAAACTGAATTTGCAGGTGGGGTGTGTATTATGCGGATACTCTTAGCATTTATAAAAAAACGTAATCTCGTGACTGTGATTGTCCTTAAGACACCAAATTATGTGACTGTTTTTATTGCTTACCTAGTAAGTAAGTATAACAAAGAAACTATTTGATAATGTCCTTGCGACAGTGTTTTATAGATAAGTTAGCATATAAGAACAAAACACGTAATCTCGTGACTGTGATTGTTCATAAGACACCAAATTATGTCCAGTGGTGTTTGTTTATAGTTCTTTGAACATCTGCGGGTTTTGCAAAAATTAAAAATAAAAACTCATTTTCTTGATTACAAAGTGTTTTATTTCTCTTTTAAACTTAAATTTAATTAATTTAAACTGTATGCAAAAGGGGTATAAAGTATAAGTAATTTTTGTATTCAGTACATACTAATTTAGATTTTATATCTTTAGAACTAACTACGGTTTCTGTCCGCTTGATAGTAGATAATTTGGCTTTAATGTTTACAGGTTCGCTGCCGCATGGAAAGTAGAAACTTACCCTCGGGGCCAAAAGTGTTTTTTGTTTGATTGACTTTAAAAGTGATTGGTTAAGATTATTATTATATTTATTTAATATATTTGGGTATTTTACTGTATTTTGAGCGAGATGGAAAACTGCACCGCACCGGTGCGTGCTTGGCACTGGGAATGGAATGGGCATTCCCAATGTCGAAGAACGCACGGGTGCGTTGTCAGTTCTTGTCATATTTTGTGGGTTATTAGGAATAAAATACAGTTATTTGTTATATAAATCAAATATAATAAAACTAGCACTTCTATTACAAAATAAACTACAAAGAAAAAACCATTTTGAAATGGCACTAGGTACACTTTGGCATTGAAATAAATCAAATATAATAAAAACTTACATTATTCTTAGGAAATAAACAATAAAACAAACAATTTCAAAAAGGAAACAAAACTAAAGCTCTTTCTAATTTGAACCCTACCTAGACATGGCATTACACTTTGGTATTGATATAAATCAAATATAATAAAAACTTGCATCACTCTTACGAAATAAACAATAAAAAAAAACATTTTCAAAAAGGAATACAGTTTACATTTCAGTTCACGATACAGTTATACACAGTTCACATTAGTTATACACAGTTCACATTTAGTTATACACAGTTCACATTAGTTATACACAGTTCACATTAGTTATACACAGTTCACTTTACAGTCATACACCAAGTTCTAAGTGATAATTGTCAAAACATGACACACAAAGTCCAGGTTTGTCAGGACAGGTGTCACAATACCACGGAGAGTCAGTACGTTTTTTATTTTTAGTGCACTGGCGGCATGTTTTACGTTTGAGTCGCCCATTTGCAGTAGTTTCAGTGGCTTTTTTTATTTGATGACGGAGCGAACGCCGACTTCTATCAGGTGGTAAATTCTCAGGGAGAAGAGCATTTATTACACTCAATCGGTAATCGTAGTCGAGACATTTTACGTTGCCCTGAATATTTGTTGAACATTTTCATAGAGTTCAACAAGAGTAATTGAAATGTGTGGATGGCTACCTTTAGATACCACCGTAAAGTTTTTCTTTCGCAAGGATAGTACGCCAAAAGTTGGTCTTGCCTGTCCACTCCTGACATGTAATTGTTATATTCTGAAATAGCCTCTGGCTTTTGTGTAACTTGACCACGTTTATTTGCAACTGGAACCATTCTGTTTTCGTATTGTGTAGTAATGTAGGGCACAATACGTTTGTCTTTCCACACGCCAACGTGAACTCCTTCTCTAAACATTGAATAATTTTCCCCTCTTTTCAATTTTTTATTCATAAGTTCTCGAGGATTTTCTTTCAGATCTTTGCGTAGAGTGCCCGTGCAATACGTGTTATTATCAAGCAACTTCTTTGCTAAACCAAAACTGTTGTAAAAATTGTCCATATATAATTCATGACCACAATTTAGTTTTTCATGAAGTAGTTCCATGACTACTTTTTCAGCATGGCCCTTCCCTGCTACTTCTGAGTCTTTCCCACCTGCATACACTCGAAATTTTAATATCAAGCCATCTGGTTCTGTCAACATATATAGTTTTATGCCGTATTTGTGGCGTTTGTTTTTTATAAATTGCCGAAAGCTCAGTCGCCCTCTCCACAGCACCATACTCTCATCTAGAGATAATTGGGCAGCCGGATAATAGCATTCAATCATTTTATTGTTGAAATAATCAATGAGACTTCTTATCTTGAATAAGGGGTCCTTACTTTCTAACTCAGAGGTAAAATGTAGACACCTCATTATAAGCAGAAATCTGTTTCTGCTCATTTGCTGAGCAAAAGTCGGTATTGAAAATAGTCTATCTGTTTTCCAATAATCATTTAGACGACTCAGAGGTATAGTCCCCATGTGGAATAAGAGGCCGAGAAAAATTCTCATCTCAGGGACGGTCACATCTTTCCAAGAGGTAATTCTCGAATAATCTCTACCTCTATTTGGTTCTTCCTCATTTCGTGGCCGTTTATGAGCATCTAATAATCTTTGAGCCTGGGCATTTGTCTCACTACAAATCAGCGTGAACAAATCGTCATTGAAAAAATAATTAAAGTAATCAATAGGCTCGACTCCCATTACTTCGCCATAAAATTCATTAGATTTTGTAAAATCAAATTTATTTAGGTCTCCCGTAGTTGTCCATACAGAAGTTGAGCCTGCTGTAGAGGGCTGATATGCCTGGACTTGACTTTGATTGTCTAGTGATGAAGTGACAAAAGGCGAATTACCCTGCAGGTCTTGATCTTGAGCTATGGGCGAGGATGTTCGATGTCCCGGAGGACGTAATTCAATATTGTAAAGTTGCACCTCACCTTCACTTTCAGACGCTGACTCCTCCTCACTAGGCTGGTAGTCGTCTTCCGAGTGATCAGCGAACAATTCCTCCTCTATATCACTGTCCTCTAAAATCGTAAACATTTGTTTTCGCTTTCTATTAATTCTATTAGAATCAGAAGTTCCTTCACCGGGATCCATTTTTATTGTTTTTTATTTCGTCCACGCAAATACAACCGTCCAACTTATCAAAAAACCAAAAACACGTTACGAAAGTTCGGAATTTCAAGCACAGTGCCACTACAAACAAAACGTGTCTTGCCCGATGCCGGCGGCGCACTGAGTGTAGGAAAGGGGCATGCCCACTACCCATAGACACTTTGGCCCTAGGTGCACACATATAAAAGCAAATGGAAACGATAATATACAATTTAAAGAATGAAATGATTAAGGAATTGGTATTAAAAAAAGTCGGGATTTTTAAGATATAAAATGATTTTAATTTTCAAAAATAACTACAGTTTTTTTCCTTATTCATCATTTTATTGTTATTCTCACATACAATATCAAGTTATATGTAGTTGTTAGGTATTTTATGATCATACATCATTTGTGTCATACACAATTAAGTACATCATCCAGGAATTGAGCCGGAGGAAAAATATTTGTTTGATGTCGTGCCCAACCCAAATACCATATTACTGTCATTATATGGGCACAACATCCTACCGTTCGACGCCCAACAATACAGTTACAACAATACTTTTTAATTGCACTTCTGCCAGAATCATTGCCACTAATTAAAATATATTTAAAATATATTTTTCGACTGATGTGTCGACTTTCGATTCTAGCCCTAAGTAAAGAGCAGTTAGGACTAAGGTGTATTCCTTCCATAATGCTGCTCCTATAGTCATTACATATTTCTATGTGGTAGCAACCATTAGCTCTTATATGCTCACCATAATAGGAGCGACCTTGCTTTAATTGGTATGTACCACAAGCAATTAGTACTAAGTCGCTGTAAGTTAAAATAGGAAATTCCCTAACATTTTCGGAGCCTACGTTTATATTTCTAAAGTCTGCCCTAGCTCTATTAAAATAAATAAATAAATAATATTAGCACTAACATAACGAAATCATTATAATTACCGAAAATCGAATAATATAGCTATAAAATAATGGCTGTGTTTGGCAGAAAATAGCGCTAGGAAGCGCTTATGAGCGCTTACTAGCGCTGACACAGTTTTCGGCCAGAACACGTTTGCTAACTTCAGTAGCGCTGACACAAACCGCCATTTTGCTTATTTATTTTGTTTGTTTTAAAAGTAGAATTTATAAGATGTTTTGTGCAATTAGTTTCAAGTAATATTAAAATAAATATTAATGTCAGTCCCAAAAATAGTAAAATTAGTAATTGGGAACACTTAATATTTTGTCAGAAACCAATGAAATACGGATAAACGTAATTTCACTTTTATCTTTTCGGTACTTTTATTTTCTGTTTAAATGTTGCAGACCTGTCAGGATAAATGAATACCCCAATTAATAAATAGAAAATAAGATGTTTTTTTTCCAACAAAAGCAAATTGTTGGGCGTTTCATGGCCGAAAATGGGCATTCCCCTTTCATAGACGCTAGCCCGCACCGGTGCGTGGCCGGCACCACGCGCCACACCCCCTTCCCCGCACCGGTGCGTGCTCGGCAGCGAAGCTGTTAAGTATGATGATTTAATTGGCTCTTCAAAGACGTCGATTAAGCCAGTAATTTTATAGCCAATTATCTTTATTTCACTGCTATTTTTCTGTTGTTTCTATTTTTGTCACTTCCAAAATGTCACTATTGTAATATATAAAATGTTTATCCTGTGGTTTCAAAGAAATTTTAAAATCTTTCAAATGTAGTATATTTAGTTTTCTGCTATTGGTAGTAACAAAGGGTTCAACATATGTGATTTGCTGATTTTGTCTGCTCTTGCTCATTTCTAATCCTGAATTTTCACTCAATCTTTTTGCTACTTGAGCAAGAGGTTTGTTGCCATGCCTTAGCATCCTTTTTAACAAATACAGCTTGTTTTCAAAAGGATAAGCACTAAATGTATGAAGTGGACCAAATCGTTGTACTTCATCTGTGAGATGCACTACATTATGGACATTGCTAGTTATATAATCTGATCCATAAAAGTCTATAAAGACTTTTGCTCAACAAAATATTTTAGAAGCTCTTTTGCCAATGGCAGAAAATGATTATAGTTTTTGCTAGAGCAAATTGTAATACCACAAAAAAATGCCAGGAAATGTGAAAATGCATCGTGTTGTAATGCGTCTGGAAGTATGACAATTCGCAAATAAAGTAAAAAAAGATCTATATTCTGATGCTTTCCAATGAGAAAGACAGTCAAATCCTCTTACTGACCTATGAATTTCAGATGGCAATTTGCGTTTAATAAGAAAATTTGAAACTGTTTCGGTATCTCTGGCACTCCATTTGGTAATATATTTTCCAAAATTACCGTTACGCCAACCAACTAATAGCCGCTTCATTATTCCTATCAACAGGCAACTTCAGTAGAGGAGAATCTTTTTTATGGTGAGGCCCATACTTTTTTTTCTCGAAATTCTTGGTCTGTTCTAGGGCGGCAAATAGTTTCAGGAAATGTCACTGTATGTGATAAGTATGAGTATTCTCCTACTGTGACATATTTTAAGCAACCATGTTTTGCATTAAAGTTACATACACCTGAAAGTTAAATATTACAAGAATTATTTTAGTCGAATTATGGTTGAATGAAACTACGAATAAAGCCACATTTATAATTTTATATAACCACATTTTGTATAGTATAACAAACCGATTGCGTAAAAACGAAAAGTAAATTTCAAACTGTGCATATCACCTTTATAGTCTCCCGCGAAAACGTGAAAAAGTCTTAGAAAATTAAATAATCACTAAGCCTACTATGTGATTTTTTTAAATAGGGTAAATCCGTAATTTGTTATAAGTTTTTATATACTTTAAGTACCTTTAATGTAAGCTCTCGCTCTAGAATCACATATAAAACATCTAATTTCAATAGATATTTTTCTATCTTCGATATAAATTCCTTCGTTAATTAAATTTCCTATTTCTTTTACAAAATCATCGAAATATTGATCAATTTCTTTTGGTTTTCCAACTCCAAAATAGATACCAATAACAAATGGCTCTATATCAGGTCTTTCAAATATATTACATAAAATTGGCCAAAATTCTTTATTGGAGCTTTTAAATATTGGGAGACCGTCGAAATTGAAATTTAATTTTACGTTGTTTGGAACATCTACCCAGTTTTCTAATGCTTTCTGTAGAGATTTAGGGAGGCCATTATGCCAGTATTCTCCATGTTCTATAGTCTTGATATTATGTATTTGTCTGACAGTACCTATAATTGCTCTAGCATCCCGTGGTAATATTCCCGGAAATATGCAATTTAGTATTGTTGCTAAATCACTAAGAGCTTTTTGAGATATATTTCTTTCTATAGCCCATTCCTTAATTTTACGACGGAACAGTAAATTTCGTCTTCTTTACTTGTACTGCTGCATGAAAATATGTCGTTATCAGTTTCCCAAGGTTTTATAAAATTTTCACTTTCAATATCAATGTTTGACGTTTTTGCTGCGGAACCTTCGTAAGACGTCGACTTTCTTTCATTCTCTATAAATGACGACTCAGTATCACTAGTTTCATTTGGTTGGTAATTTGTAATATTTTTATATTCTCTTTTAATCTTCCTTTTGACTCCACCGGACCTTTTTCCTTTTTTCCACATATTTTTATCCGGAATGACACGTTTATTTACTATTGCAAAGATAGACGACTGACAATAAAACAGACTAAAGCTGTACTATAGAATTAATTTATTATTATGGTGTTTTAACATCATATTTGTCAGAAGTCATAAAACTCTAACACTTACAAGGGTGTATAATTACGCAATAATAATAAGTTTTATAAAGGAGTTTACATATACCAATATACAGAATTAAGTATAGAGTGATACCATATTAACACATAAAGCTGTAGTAAGTAAGTGATCACATGCAAAATACAGCCTCTGTGCAGCTTGAATAATAAACATTAGCTTAAAGTGTCAAAAATTCCTTAAGTTTTAAAGTAGAGTTTTAATATTCCGTTTTAACACCTTTAGTTTACGCGGATTCTTTTATAAAGATTTAGTACAGCTTGAGCTGTATAATAACTGGTAAATCAACCTTATAAATATAGAATCTTTTCTTGACACCCTTGTACGTCTCCAAAAGAACTCTAAGTTCTATAAGTGCTGCATATTTGATGTCGGTAACGCCTAAGTGCTCCTTGGGTATGCAGCAGTCGCTAAACCTTGAGCCCACAATTTCTTCTCCAGGTTGGCATAAAACAACATGCATCTTGCAACGCTCCACTAGTCTTCTGTTCATTCGTTCTGCCATGCCGTTGTGCTCTGGAGTCTACGGAGTGGATGTCTGATGAATAATACCATGATTAGAAAGGAATTTTTCAAAATTGCTATTGCAGTATTCTTTACCGTTATCGGTGCGGAGGAGTGGGTAACTATTCAATATGACCAGTGAATCAGAATTACAACTGTTAGTGAGAAAACGCAGTAGATTAAAAGCAAAATTAACGCATTTTAGAGGTTATATGAATGTGCTTCTTGGCTGTGATACGGTTTCTAATTTGCAATGCATTGAATTAGAGAGCGCTTGAGAAAATTCGAAGCCATTTACGATGAATTTGATGTTTTACAGTTGCAAATCGAAATGCTTTCGGACAAGCCAGACGAGGCATATACGGAGCGAGCCATGTTTGAGGACCCCTTCCATCAATTGGCAGCGCAAGCACGCAGTGTTTTGACCACCGCAAGGGCCACAGACGACGTTGGGTCTGTGGCAAACTCGGAGTGCAAACAAACAGGTGATTCGTACCATCGTGGTTTTATACGCTTACCTAAATAGACTTGCCTAGTTTTGATGGTGGTTATTAGTACTGGCTTGAGTTTAGAGATACGTATTTGTCACTAATACATAGTAGTAGCAGCATTGATAACATAAGCAAATTACACTACCTTCGTGCTTTGCTTAAGGGCGATGCACTAGAAATCATAAAAAATATTAATTTTAAAAGTGAGCACTACCAGATGGCGTGGAAGTTGTTGTGTGATCGTTATGATAACAGTCGGCTTTTAGTTAATAATCATATGCAGGCGTTATTTAATGTTGAAAAGCTCTCAAAAGAATCTTGTTTTGGCTTGAGACGTTTGAATATAAATATTAGAGCCTTAAAAACATTGAATGAGCCTACAGAATACTGGGATATGTTGATTGTGTATATGATGTCAATTAAATTAGATTCCGTTACCAGTAGAGATTGGGAGGAATACCGTAGCACATTAGATAAATCTCCTTCTCTTTCACAGTTTTGTTCCTTTATTAGTATTTAGTAAAAAGGCTGATTTGTTAGAAACCCTAGATTACAATGAAACATCAATTAGAGATTACAGTAGTAAATTTATAGACATTAAACCTAAGACATTCGTAGTTAAAACTAATCAAAGCGATAATCTAACTCGAACAAAAAATCATAATTTAAATGTAAAATGCCCTTTGTGTAGCAATGAACACCTACTATATACATGTCAGGAATTTCGTAATTTACCTGTCGAAACACGCATCAGTAAAACTAAAGAATTTCAACTGTGCTTTAACTGTTTACGTCCTGGGCATTCAACTAAGCGATGTAGATTGTCTCGCTGTAAATATTGTAAGGGTAGACATAGTACTCTTTTACATATTGATAATTTAAAACCCAACCACTTTAGAGATCCCTTGCCTAGTAGTGTTACCCTATCCACTGACATTTTTAAAAGTGCGTCGCCTTCTTTACTTCCTAGCACTGCAGAAAATGTAACCTTGTCTAGTGACACTTCTTGCAACCGTATTACTGCTTCGCATATTTTACTTTCCACAGCATTGGTGAAAGTCATGGACAGCCGAGGCAAGAAGGTAGACGCCAGGATCCTCCTCGATAATGGTAGCACAGCCAATTTCGTTACTCAAACGCTATGTGATGAGCTGGGATTACCGCGACGTGACACAAGTTCCATGGTGACAGGTATTTGCAATCAGACTACCGTTAGTAGACAGTCTTGCGACTTAACATTAGAATCACGCAGCGGTGATTACAAGTTAAACATAAATTGTTATGTATTGCCTGAAATTGCAAAGGTGCCGTTTGTTTCGATAGATTTTCGTAGCATTCCTCTACCCTCACACATACAACTAGCTGACCCTACATTTTTTATTTCGTCAGCAGTTGACATACTGGTAGGTGCTGAGGTGTTCTGGGACATTCTAGGCTCTGCACATATCAACCTAGGTAAAAATAAACCTACCATACGAGACACTAAGTTAGGATGGATTGTCTCAGGCTCTATAGGTCACTCAGGGCATTCATCTATGCTTAGGCAGTCACACGTCTACAATCTCTCAAATTTTGGGAGCTTGATTCTGTGTCTTTGTAAAGGCTATCCCTATTCCTTTGATTGAGGGGCAAGGGCGTCTTCAATAAACGATTTATTATTGGTTTAAAACATAAACGTATATTTTTTACAATAATTTGTGATAGAAAAGAAAAAACGATGCGTTCGGCTGCACAGAACATCGCAGAAGAAGAAAAGGCGAGTCAGTGTGAAGTTGAAGCTCGCCGGTAGCACTGCAGCTCGCACGATGTTCATTCGCCAAATATAGTGTCGCCGTATGCCACTTGATGGCGCTGTACTTATATGGAACTTCAACATGCTGGCCGCCTTGGAAGCACCTGGATGTAGTCTTCCAACACGAAGCACTCGTAAACGGAGCACATAGCGGATACATTATTGTAAGGGTAACGGGCAAATCTTTGAGAAGGATCGCCGTATGATGCCGTGTGCCGTACGGATTTCAGCTACACGGGATATTCCATCGGTCCCGGGAAAGATGCGTGTCACTCGACCCAGTTTCCATCTGAGTGGTGGAACATTCTCCTCCTTAATAAGAACTAAGCGGTCTGGTGTGCCGTCCTCACTGTTGTCCTTCCATTTTGTTCGCTGTTGGAGCTCTGAGATATATTCTTTCGACCATCGTTGCCAGAAATGTTGTCTAAGTTGCTCCACGAGGTCATAGCGTGCCAGCCACGTAGGCTCGATCGATTTCAGGCTCTCGCAGGCGGGCGCAGTCAGCGGTCGACCGATCAGGAAGTGTAAGGGGGTCAGTGGGAGTAAGTCATTTGAATCTGTGGACAGAGGGGATAAAGGACGGGAGTTGAGAACAGCTTCAATTTGCGTTAATACCGTCTCAAACTCCTCGCGTGTTAGTCTGGCATTGCCCAGCACTCGCCGCAAATGATACTTGCAGGACTTGACCCCTGCCTCCCACAACCCACCAAAATGAGGACTATAAGGTGGTATAAAGGTTAAACGAATTTGATTATTACTAAGAAAATCAGAAACATTACTAGTATTATTAAAAATTACTGATAATTCCTTTTTAGCACCAACGAAATTCTTTCTTTGTGTGAAAAGATTTGATATGGCTTTCCACGACGGGCTATGAAACGTTTTAGTGCTAAAATGTAATCCTGTGTACTTAAACTGCTTACCAGTTCTAAATGTATAGCTCTTGTGGTAAAACAAACGAATAAACAGATATATGCTTTAATTAGTTTGGCTCCTCTGCCTTTGCGATCTAGTATGAGCAACGGTCCCGCATAGTCAACACCACACTGCATGAATGGAAAACTTGGCTCTAATCTTTCCGAAGGTAAGTTACCCATAAGAGGAGTCAATGTTCTCCCTTTCATGCGCGTGCATATGACACAGTTATGAACTACCTGTCTGGCTAAGTTGCGTGCTCCTAAGATCCACAACCTTTCACGCATAAAATATACCAGAAGTTGAGGTCCTGCGTGAAGGAGTCGTTTATGTTCGTATTCACACAACAACCTTGAAAAACGATGTTTGCCACTTAACAGTACGGGATTTCTTTTATCATAACTAAACTCAGTGGCGTTAGATAGCCTACCACCTATACGAATTATATTAGATTTATCTAAGAATATATTTAAACCTGATATTTTACTATATAATAATCTATTTGTTTTATTTTTATTAATATTTAACGGTAACTTATTATTTAATTTGTAATATTGATCACTAAACGATTCTTGTTGAACAAAACGCGTTAACGTATCAAGCGATCGCTGTAGCTCGTCTACAGATAACGAACCGGTTTTACGCACATGCATGCCGCCGGGTACTGGCCGCGCTCGCACATTACCTATAAATCGTAATATGTATGCAAAAATCCTTTGTAAGTGAATAAATGACGAATAACGTTCAAAATCAAACATTGAAGTTAATTGAGTAGAATGCAAATTAATAATGTTAGGTTTAATTTCAGGCAAATCACCGGATGACGATTCTTTATTACTATTTTATCACATTAGACTAGGTTCTCGTAAAAACGCAGGGCCACGCCACCAATTATTATTATTATCGTACTTTAACGTATCTAACGTAGCCCCTCGCGATATAATGTCCGCAGGGTTTTTGGTGCCCTTAACATGCCGCCAAATTGTATCACATGTTAATTCATTTATTTGTACCACGCGATTTTGCACGAATGTCTTAAGCAGATGTGGTGACATACTTAACCACCCCTGCACAATCGTTGAGTCCGTCTAAAAATAAACTTTACCGAAATTTAAACGAAGGGACTTCTTTATTTTACTATATAA